AAAGAGTGTGTGGAGGCAGACAGCCTCGTGGAAAACAACCGTACGCTTATTCAAATGGGACTGAGTTAGGAGAGCAAGCGAGTCTCCTGGGGGAGCGGGTAGGAGGGAAGGATTAGAAACGTAAAAGAAGTGCTCCCGTGGACCTGTGTGGGGTCTGCTGCCGTATCGTCCACACACGTCTTCCCAGGATCGGCAGCTGTCTGGGGCTTCTGGACAAACACTGGCCCCAGGGAGAAATGCCAAGCCGTGCTCGTCCAGTCACAGACCCCACAGAGCACGAGTGCACTGCAGCGTTCTTCACATTCTTCCATGTGCGAACAACATTCACGGACCATTTCCCCATCACAGACACAGTATGACAGCTCTCTGCGCTGGACAGTCATTATGAAGAACACAGGGAAACAGCTCCACTTACATGGTTAATGAAGAGACTCTTGCGTTTTTCTCTCACTGTGAAAACAAAAGATGCAACAGAAATGTTACTCGCCTGCGTGCCAACCCCTTGCAGGCTGTTGAGGACAGGCCTCTGCATCAAGGTCCCATCCTTCCACCAACCAACGTGCCCAGATGCTCAACTTACTACGCAACCTGCACAAATGCCGATCTGACCTCGGCTAGCTAACAGAGCAAAGCCTAAACCCACTGACAAGACGGCACCTGACAAAATCACTGCAGCCATAGTTAACTGAGGGGCAACAGCTTTCTAAGAACTAAATAAAGTAGCAACCAGTAAATCTCATAAAACTTGCATGCATCCACTAATTTAAGATGATCAACAGATGACAGGACTATTTATTTCTAACCCAACCAGACCCATAAACGTCCATACTATTTGGGTGAAATATGATAACAACAATACCCATAACAGCATTAAAATACAGGACAGTGTATGTCGGAAGCATTATTGGTCATGGAATCCAATTACTCTCGGTGCTGGTGCAGGGGAGGAAAACCGGCTTCTGTGGAGGCCGCCCAGAGCATCCTGCCCCCTCAGGGAGGCTGATCCAACTCACAACAAAAACACCCCCCCCCTTCTGAAATGCTGTTCTCACGCTGCTGTCTGCGAGGTGTGGTCTGCACCCAGCCTTCCGTGCCCCAGATCCCAGTGTTTCTCAAAATGGGGGCCCGTCAGCCCCAAAGATGTAGAAGTGGGACAGGGAACCCAGAGGAGCTTTTTGACAACGTAGTAACATTGAGTTTTCCATTTTCTTTCCTGAAGACTTACTTTTGAGAATATATACTAATCAATCAACACAGGTAATGAGCAGGTCACTGGAGAGGACAGAGATATATTTAAATCAAAAGGGAAGCTAGGAACACTAGTTGCGAGGAAAAGGGCAGGTGGGGCTCTTTCACTCAACCTGGATTTGATTCCCTGTCCGTGCCTGGCAAGGAGATGAGGCCCACTGCTGCTCTAGAAGGCGCATGAACGCTGGTGCTTCCCCAGGCTCCTGAGCGCGTCGGGGTTAGACCAAGCGCCTCCAGATGACAAGAGCAGTGGATACAAGTGACAGTCATTCACATGGCTGGTAAAGCCTTTCAGGTGTACTTCCCAGAAACTCAAAACTGCGGAGCTCCTACAACCAGGTGAGAAACTCTGGCAAATAAGTGGACTCCAATTCCTTACTGTCAACAAAACTGAAGACTGAACTGCAGCTATCAGGACTTATTTTGGATGATAAATCCCTTGGAGTTTTCTGACATATAAACCAAGTAGAGTAGAAAGAATTTAGTGATTAACAAAACTCCTTCCATCCCCATCTATTGATGTGTATAAACAAAGCTCTTCAGCACTTACACATCCATAAAAACAAGAAGATCTGATGACTAGCACCTCGTTCCAGCTACATGTAATAGTCATCCACAGAAACATCTCAGTAAGAAATGTTTTTCCAAAAATTATTTCACTTTTCTGTTTAATAGTTATGCATTAACATTTTAATGCTTGTACTGTTTTGATCTGGGAACTAACAATAATGATACCACAATCCAGAATTTATTTGTAACACTGAGAGACTTATGAGAAATAAAAATTAAATTCAAGTGAGATCCATATTTTCATAGAAGTATGATAGTGTGACAAGTGAGTTTTAGAAATCGAATATATTACATTAGGATAAAATTCTATGAAGAAAATGGCATGGAAATTACAAGTTCAAGATGAAAGGAATGATGTGAAATTTCCAACTGTTAAAGAAGAGCGTGTTCATACATTTTTAAATGCTGATGGTGGATTATCAAATCACCATGGTATTAAGATATTATTTGAAACATTTTTTAAAAGAGGGACAGTTTTATTTTAAAATACCAATGTTTACATCAGAAATTACATCCTTTGATAGCATGAAAAATTGGTATGGTCAACATAAAAATGTTTAAAGGAGTTCATAGTTTTTAAAAGTTACTTTCCATGGTTTATAGCATGAAAATCAGCAGCATAAGAGCTTTAGGCTCCTACGGATTCTTCAATATCTCACTGCAAAAGCATCCCCTGTGGAAACTGGGAAGCTGTGGGGAGACACACAGAGTGACTGATGGAGAACTAGAGAGACAGGCACCCTAAACAGGGCACTCAGGACCATGATAAAGAGAACTGGGACCCTCACAGGCACAGGGTTTGGCTGCCTTCAAATATCTGACTAAAGGAGAACTAAAAGGCTGGTCCTCTCATGCAGGAGTTCAACAATGCCAGGAACAAAGGCAGGACCCCAAAGAGTGGAAGGCCACAAAATGCTTCTCAATGTCAGTGTTTCTGGACGACTGTGCAAAGAAAACCAGAGCTCATATTTTAATTTCTGAATTTTAGTCTTTCTACTTTGGCTTCAAGTCATTCAAGGGACAAGTTGCTTTTATTCCTTTAAATATTTCAAGGAACTCCTGAAAAACACACAGATCACACATTCACACACACACACACACACACACACACACACACACACAGATAGGTTTTCATTTTTGTCCAACTTCTTTCTTAAAACAAAGAACTTTTCTAAAAACCAAACTAATTAAAATATATATAGTTTGACTGTTTTCTCCTAATACTTAAAAGAGTAGGCTCTCATGTCTTTGAAAATAGCAAATTAAAATGGAATAGAAAAGGAAAAGACACAATCAACTGCAATTCTCCCCCACAAGCAGAAATGAGAGCACGAAAAGGCCAGGCTGAGCAGACTAATCTCTCACAGGCACCTCCTCTCCCACTACAAGGGTCCCTTGGTCCCTTCTTTGTTGAGTGGGTCTCATACAAAGAAAGTCCACACGGACATCTCACATGTGTGAGGAAATGACCGAGAGAGCAGTCCGTTGGGCTTGGGACAGGACCTCCCTAACTTTAGCCAGCTGGGGAGGTCTGATCAGGCACGGCTTCTGTGATCACGGTCAGCCCAGCCTAAATCTCTTTGCTATTCAGCGGGAAAAGGAACTTAACAGCCAGGAAGCTCCTAATGACTTAATGCAGGCACATCTAAAGCAGAATCATGGAACAGCTGGTGGCAGGGAGCATGGCAGGCAGAGCCTGGCTGCCAGGCCGAGTGCTGGGGAAGGAAGGAGGATGAGGGTCTGAAGAGCAGAGAGCTGTGAAGGCCGTGGTCCGGGCGGAGCTGCCCCAGCATAACTGCCACGGCCCCATCCATGGTCTCCCACCCGCAAGCCTATCCTGAACTGCAAAGGAGCACATCGACCTCCAGAAGAGATCACCAGATTCAAATGAAAATGTGTGCTTATAAGCTCACATTACAACACTTCTTCCAAGGTTGGGGTCAGGGGGGCACAACTTGAGCATGTGAAACCCACAGGTTTTAACTGCTCTAGTACTCCTGGAAGTGGAGGGAGTGCTGCAATGGCAATGGAAGTTTACACAAGTGAAGACAGATCACAATCAAATCAAGAATGTCTCCTGGCTTTGTCTTTTCCTCCTTTCAACCACCTAGGGTGAACACATCCTCTGTATCAGGCAGAGCAAGGCAAAGGGATACTGAGATCCAATATCACACGTTCCGTTCCCTCCAGGAGCTCGTTGGTGATACACATGAGGAAATAGTTTTAAATACCACAATATGGTTCAGACATGAAGAAGCTATTCACAGGCTACCCTCAGGACCACTTAATCTAGCCTAAGGGGTCAAGAACACCTTCAAGGAGGAAGTGATAGCAGAAATGAGCCTTGAAGACTGAAGAGATGAGCTGTGTGGAAGACAGAAGGGAAAACCCAGCTAAACGCAAAGGAGCAGGGGGCGAGTGGCGCCCTGGGGTGCCGCAAGCAATCCAGCGTGGCGGACACAGTGCAAAAGGAGACAGGCTGGGCTTCCCTGGTGGCGCAGTGCTTGAGAGTCCGCCTGCCGATGCAGGAGACGCGGGTTCGTGCCCCGTTTCGGGAAGATCCCACATGCCGCGGAGCGGCTGGGCCCGTGAGCCATGGCCACTGAGCCTGCGCGTCCGGAGCCTGTGCTCCGCAAATGGGAGAGGCCACGACAGTGAGAGGCCCGCATAACGCAAGGAAAAAAAAAAAAAAAAAAAAAAAAAAAAAGGAGACAGGCTGAAACAACGGCGGAGGACGGACCTCCAACGGCCTGTATATCACGCTAAGCCGTTTGGAGTTTAACACCAAGGCAACTGGGGAACCACAAAAAAGTTTTAGCAAGGAAGTGACATGATCAGATCTGATTTACAGAAGTCTCTTCACCTAGCAGCAGCGTAGACACAGGACTGGGAAGGGAAAAGGTCAAAGGCCAGGCCAGAGGCTGCGGCAGGAATCTAAGTGAGAAATTATGAGTCTGGACAGGTGGCAGC